TCTTATAGAGTATCTCAGGCTGTCACGGCCTCTAAACTGCTTCGTCCGCTCCTCTCACATGCTTCCCTCCCTCCTTCTTGGAAACTTACGGTATACCGATCCATTGTACTTACAATAATGATGTATGCCATGGATTGTTTTGTTGACATCTCCCCAAATCCGTAAACTGGACACAGTCCACTACAAGTCTCTTAGACGCATTTTTAAGATCAAATCTTCATACTACCACCGTGTTTTGGACCCCACAGACGCCCAATGCTCTAATCAATACTTGGCCTCCCTTGCTTTTTCTAGCCGACGCGTTCAATCTCCCTCTCAACTATACTCACAGCAACGCCTTCAACTTTTTGGACATATTCATAGACACCCGGATTCCATAGAAAGCCAGACTACGTATATGAGTTCCCATGCATACCGTCATATCAGGGCACCCAATAGATCAGGCCGCCCAAAAATACACTGGGCAGAATCCTGCATGGCACAAGCAGCGCAGCGTATTGATCACTTAATGTCAGACCAGGCACCTCCTCACGATCATATACATCACGAATTTTTCGATGTACCCTCCTTCCAACAAATACGGCAGGCCCACAGGGCATCGGGCATTGTTTGGATGGACAACACCTCCTTATATCGCTATGTCCATCCTAAATGCCAAGACCGCACCTACTGGCAGAAGGTTGTGCACAAGCCCAGAAGGGACAAGGGACGATAATTTAAGCCACCAGTAATAGTATTAGGATAGGTCGGTGCTGATGGGCTCAAACAGAGAGCCTTGCGCGTTCGAAAAGGATGTCAGAGCTTCGCCGCAAGTTGGTGGGGCTCCAGCTTGAAGGGGCAAATGAGCCTTCTCATCATTTGCTCGACCTTTGCGCGGCACAGGAGCGATCCGGGCAACTCGTGTACATTGAGCCATCGAAGTGCACGAGTCGCATTCATGAGGTAACACATCATAAGCCTCAAAGTCAAGCTGTGCATGTTGAATCCCAGAAGCTTGTTTTGAAACCTGGCGAGTCGGTGCCTGAGATCAATCCTTCGTCAGCTCTTCAGGCGCTTGAAGCTCTTCGTCGCCGCGGCATTGCCATGACCTTTGCCGGCTCGGTGTCTTACCCAGGATACGACAGGTACCTGAATAAACTATTCAGCCATCTTTCACATGATCCTCCCCCAGGCATGGCTCGCATTACTGTCAGCCAAATTGTTGCTGCGGACAAGCAAGTCTTTGTGCGGCTCATTGAAGCTGGCATCCGACCGAAGCGTGGAGATGACAAGTCTTTTCCCATGGATGCTGCGCTAATGGCTGCCCTTGAGTCGTATGAGGTCAGTTTCTTGTTGCTGCATGGTACCGTAACCAAGCCCCCGATGCGTCCCCCACCTCGATTAACTCGTGGAGGCCAGAAGGATGATGATCCCAAGAAGCCTCGAAAGGGGAATGGCAAAGCCGGGCAAAAAACAGGTGCAGGGGGTCCCAGGGTCCCAAAGGCCATCATGGACTTAGGAGGTCAAGCCATGACCCCCGATGGGTCACGGGTCTGAGTGCTGCTATGGCTACAATCTTGGCAAGTGCAATGTCAAAGGATGCAAGCGCAAGCATGTCTGTTGCAAGTGTTTCGGTTCGCAACCCATTACGGAGTGCAAGGCCTGACCAGCAAGGGGGCGAGAGGTTACTGCAGATCTCTCGTCCCCACCTTCCCCTGCGGCCGCTTGTACGGCCACAGGTGATGCCGAGAACTTTTGCATGAGTTGTCCACCTGCCATCAATCCAAAGTTGTTCGCAACTCTGTGTGATGAGTGTGACTTTGATCTTTTCACCAGTGCTGAGCCTGCCGAGCTCCTGTCGGTCAGTGTTCTTGAATCCAAGGTTTTTGATTACAGCTTTTTTGATGAACTCTTCAAGTTGTTGCCTGCCGAGGTGCCGGCACGATCTTCTATCCATGACCCAAGCATCCACACCTTCACCACAGGTGCTTACGTGCGTGGCGGGGTTCATGGTACTAGGTGTAACTTCGACAATTTTCCAGCAACGTCAGCCATTTTGGCAATCTTGCTTCGTTGTGCGTGTCCTGAGGCGACCTTCACGAGCATTGCCTTGCTACGCAACCAATCGGCCCATCTTCATCGCGACTTGAACAATGCTCTGGATTCTGTCTAATTGGGCTGTGCCGCTCAACGTCTTCGGCGCAGGCGGCATCTGGGTGGCAGGACTTGGTGATGAGGTGTGTCCCCAGCCTCTTGATGATGTTCCAGTGGGCCAGGGAGGCGTCCTTTCCTTTGCCAAGGGCCCTCTCTCGTTTGACAGCCATCGCTGGCATTGCACAGCACCGTGGACGGGGGATAGGAAACTTTTAGTCGGGTTTACGGTTAAAGGGTTTCTTGACTTCTCGCCAAATTTAGTTAGCCGGTTGAGTGCTGGGCTTTTTCAGCTTCCACCTTCAGCTACAGCAGATGTTTTCGAGGTCCATGAAAGCCATCCTTATCCAGTTCTGATTGAACTTTGCTCGGGCTTGGGTCGTGTCACTGCCCATGCTCGCAATCATGGTGCACGAGGTTCGATTGCTGTTGACTTCACGGCGGCGCCTGATGCGGCTACTGTGCCTCTGCAGCTTGATCTCACTGAGGCTTCGTCTCTAGTGTGCGAGTGGCTCTCTTCGCCATTCGTTACTTGCATTCATGTTGCCCCGCCGGGTGACATGTCGCTTGAGCTTTCGCAATCCCTCGGGGCCATCGTGCGACATGCTGTTGCTAAGGACCTTATCGTGTCATTCGAGTTGCCCCCTGATGATTCTTTCTGGGCATCTGCCAGTGGTGCTGTCGTGGCACAAGCTTGCCCCTATTCATGGCAGGTTCACTTGTGTGCCTTCGGCGGTGCATGTGTCACAACTTCGCTCTACAGCAATTGCGACGTCTTCAATTCCTTGAGCCGCCTGTGCTCCTGCAATGCCGTGTCAGTTGAGCCGTGCTTAGCTCGGGTGTATCCATGGGAGTTTGCTCAAGGTTACTTCGCGTGTTTACGCGTTTCTCCTGCTGCTTTACCTGCCTCGGCCACTGCCCGGGCAGCCACTCTTGCTCAGCCGCGCGCTTCAGTTTTCCCTTCGCTTGTTTCTGAGCATCAGCAGGTGGTTGTTGCCACAGGTTGTTTAACTTTGCCGGTCACAACCATGCAGCGTCTTAAAAGCCCCCTTTCGCTGCCTCCTGAGGTCCGCTGTCGGCTGCGTTGTCTCCCTGAAGGTTCGCAGCTACTTCGAGTTTCAAGTGTTTCGGTTAACAAAGGGGGTTCTGGGACTGAGACTGCTTGGGGCATTCCGCGATCACCCGAAGAGTTTGTCAAGGCTGCTTTGGCAGCTGGGCACCCGTGCAAAAATGAGTCTGCCCTGCCTCAAGCCCTGCAGCATGCAATCGAAGCAAATGCAAGAAGCGATTCGTCGAACCTTGCGAAGAATCGCGCACTCTTCTTTCGTAAGTGGGCGGCTAGGTCTAAGGAGTTGGAGCCCGCTGAGGCACAACTCAAGGCGACCATGCCAAGTCACATTGCATCGATCTTAGCCCCTAAGAAGCTTTTGTTGTGGCGTGAGATGATGGTTGATTTGGGGTATCCTGACCTTTCCGTTTTTGATGAGGTAGTTCAAGGTCTCTCCCTCACAGGTAATACCCCTGTAACATCCATCTTTCCTCCCACCTTCAAACCCGCCAAGCGAAGCTGCAGCGACGTTGCAAGTTGGGCACCGGAGTTGAGGTCGCATGTGATCTCTAAGTGTAAGCCTCAAGGCGAGGAAGATGAAGTCGTTCACACTAAGACTCTCGACGAGCGAAGAAAAGGTTGGGCTCGCGGCCCGATTCCTTTGGAAGAACTTCCAGCTGACTCTTTGGTCAGTCGTAGGTTTGGCTTGAAGCAAGGCCCGAAAATTCGCTTGATAGATGATCTCACGATGGGTGGCGTAAACGAGATGGTGAATGTGCGTGAGTCGCCACAACCGACCGCACGGGCCAGATACAGGGCAGAGCGTATGACCTTAGATCCGCTTACAGGCAACTGCCCGTAAGTCTTCGATCTCTTCGCCACTCCTTTGTGGCTCACTGGAACAGTAATTCCCAACGTGCTGAGGTCGATCAATTACTTGCATTGCCGTTTGGAGCATCCCGGTCTGTATATGGCTTCCTAAGGGTTGTTACTTCGGTATGGTGGATCGGCTGCATGGCCCTAGCACATTTAGGGTGGAGCGAAGCG